GCCCTATTATCCAATGGCGGTGCAATCTAAGTAGTTTTTCAAGTTGTAACGAGTTTGTTAGAATGTGGCACATACGTCTCAGCAGTAAGCTTGAAGGCTAATAACGCTAACATTTAAGTTCGATCCCTGCAGAGGGCACAATACACGTCGTCCATTGTGCAGATTAATGTTTAACAACCAACACCAGGGCATTTATTATATACTTAATTAATATACAGAATCTGAACCAATAATGTGACATACAAATAGTCAAGTTATCAAGTCTGACTTGATGATTGTAAAAAAAATATAGCTAATTCTTTTACAATGTGCCATCTAGTGGTAATATTTTAAGTTAGACACATTAGTCATGTGAATGGTGTTTATCAATGAAAATTAACGGTATTTCAATAGCTTCAAAATATGTTCTAAATCCTTTTTTTTTTTATAAAAGTAATTACGATTGCTTGTAATATTCTCGACATACGATAAGCTTGTACATTTCAGCAACCTTAACTTCAATTTGGCTAAGTGGTATAAAGTGAACCCTAAATAAATCCAGCTTATTTCTTTGTACGTATGTGCAATCAAATCTTCCCACAGTTGTAGAGCTAATAGGACCAAACTTAGCGTGCAGACTTGGGGGTTGTTCTTAGCTAGATGGCTACAAAGGAGAGGTTAAAACGCCCTCGCAAGGAACCTAAGCATGACTGGGTCCAAGAGTAGGTTTCCAGGGTCGCTGAACCCAAATCGGATTTTGCGTTCTCCCCACCTCCCCACCCCCCGGGAACCCATGTTCGAAATTCGAACACAAACTTGGCAACTTGCTCTTGCGGTAGCTATACAATTAATTGAGGATAACAGAGAAGCTTGATCCGTGCATTGAGTGGAGCCTCTGTGAATCATGAAAGGACTTCTGTCCCCGCACCGGGAGAGAGGGTGTTTTTTTGCTAGTCTCGGTAGTCCACTCACTCGCAGTCCAAGTGGTTAGGGCGCTCGATTCGCAATCTGAGGGTCGCGGGTTCGAATCCCCGTCCCACCAAACATACTTACCCTTTCAGCCGTGGGGGCATTATAATGTGACGGTCAATCCAACTATTCGTTGGTAAAAGAGTAGCTCAAGGGTTGGCGGTAGGTGGTGATTACTAGCTGCCTTCCCTCTAGTTTTACATTGCTAAATTAGGGACGGCTAGCGCAGATAGCCCTCGTGTAGCATTGCGCGAAATTAAAACAAAGAAACAAATAAACCATTCATTCGCGTCGCTAATAAAATTACAGACATTTGGCAACAGATGTATATAAAAAGTACCAAATTTTATGTCAAAGTCGAACATATTTTTCATAAACTATAACGCCAGAAGAAGTCAAGGATTGCAAGATTTTCAGTGAACAGTAAGATACACTCCAAGTATACCGGATATTCCAAACTTACGATCATTAGGCCGAATGTGGGCTTGTCATGGCCTGGTGGTTAGGGCGTTCGACTTGCAATCTACGGGTCGAGAGTTCGAATCCCGTTGCCGAACCTGCTCGTCCTTTCAGTCGTGGGGGCTTTATAATGTGACGGTCAATCTCACTTTTCGTTGGTAAAGAGTAGCTCAAGAGTGGGCTTTATAATGTGACGGTCAATCCGACTTTTCGTTGGTAAAGAGTAGCTCAAGAGTTGGCGGTGGGCAATGTGACTGGATGCCCCTTCTAGTCTATTAGTTAGGAACGGTTAACGCAAATAGCTTTCTAGAAAGTTTGCGCGAATTCAAGAACAAACTAAGCTACATAACAAGAATGTGAGTGTAATGAAAGTTTCATTTGTGAGCTATGTTATTATATGTAAATTTAAGCTACGCTGTGCAACACGGAACTGGCATCAGTTAACTCTGTAATTCGAAATGAAAAAAAAATATTTATAGAAAAGTCCACCCCTCCACCATTAACACCCAGTCTATGTGATTGTAACAAGCCACTAGTCTCCATTGAAATAATCAAAATTTCTTAAAGATGGGACCGTGCGTGATCAAGTGGCTATCGTGGCTGGAATGCGAATTCGAGAGTTTACGGTTTGCGTCTCATACTTTTAAGGCTGTCGGTGCGCTATAAAAGTTACTGTCAAATTCCACTATTCGGCCAGAGGAAACAAATAGAAAATTACAATTTATATTATTGTATTCAAGTGGAAAACAGTTAAAAATCTGATTGAATGTGTGAAGAATAAACACTTGAACTAGGGTTAGTATATGGTGAGAGATCCAGGATAGTCTCCTTCAATATCAGATTCTATACACCAGTACTGTATCTTACATCACCTTAAACAACTTCTGATTGTCTAGAACTTTTGTCTGACTTTGATCTATTGTATTCAATTGGAAAACAGTTAAAAATCTGATTGAATGTGTGAAGAATAAACACTTGAACTAGGGTTAGTATATGGTGAGAAAG